AACTAGATGGTGTAGAACTAGATGGTGTAGAACTAGACGGTGTAGAACTAGATGGTGTAGAACCAGGTGGTGTAGAACTAGATGGTGTAGAACTAGATGGTGTAGAACCAGGTGGTGTAGAACCGGGTGGTGTAGAACCAGCTGGTGTCTCTACCCTCCTGGTTCTAGTCAGATCTCCAGCTGCAGCTTCTGGTCTCAGTCTGACCTGCTGCAGGAATCAAACCACTAAATCCTGGATGAGTTTCTCTGGTCGGAGACTTTTGTCCTCTGGGCCTGAATGTCCTGCAGCTGCTGGAAGGTCCACTGAGGAACCGGCTTTATGTGGCTCTGGAGGCTCAGGTCAGAGGTCAGAGGTCAGCCTGATCTCTAGTTTACAGATGGAACAACTGAAGCTGTGATCGATAACCCTAGATCTATGACTCTGGATCGTTCCTCTTTAATAATTCCAGTTTCAGAAAATTTTGTCTCATCCACACATGTATCTGTTTTCAGCATCTGTTCAGTGATTGGATGGGGTCAAAGGTCACCTGGTGACAACATAATGTAAAGCTGTATATCATCGTCATGGTAACTGATCTTATTTCCTGCTATAACCTGAGCTAGTGGCAGAATATAGATATTGAATCAAAGGGGTTCCAGAATGGAGCCTTGAGGAATCCCACATGTGACCTCTGACCTCTCTGAGAAGTTTGAAACTAAGAAATCCCAGTTCTTTATGTCAGACTGGAACCAGTCCAGAACTGGACAAGAGAGTCCGACCAACTCACCAGTTGTTTCAGAAACTTGATCCACACTGAGGTCCAACAGAACCAGAACTGTGGTTCTTCCACAGTCTGTCTCTCTCTTTCTCTGTGTGTGTGTGTGTGTGTGTGTGTGTACCTCGGTCTGCACCATGTTGACCCTTCGCGCCCTCAGCTCTCTGACACAGTTGTAAATGTCGACGACGCCTTCTCTCTCTGCCATGTCCAGCATGATGTCGATCACCATGAAGCAGCCGGTCCGGCCCGCGCCCGCGCTGACACACACACACACACACACACCTGGTGAGCGCCAGCAGCGGCGGCAGGTGGCCGAGCACGGGGCCGGAGTCTGACCTGCAGTGCACCACGGTGGGGCCGGCGGTGGGCGGAGTCTTGGCCTTGACGCAGCGGATGAAGCCCAGCAGGCCGGTGGCGTGCAGCGGGACGCCGTGGTCCGGCCAGCCGGTGAAGTGGAACTGACGGATCTCCCTGATCTCAGCCACGCCCCTCTGGGGGGCAGAGGGGCCGTATCAATATGAAGATAGAGGGTCACAGCTTCACCTTCATCATCATCATCATCATCATCATCATCATCATCCCCCACCTTCTCCACGGCGAAGGTCCGGATCACGTACTCAGACAGCAGCTGCGTCTCGATCAGCGTCACCTTCATGTCACCATAAATCTCAGTGTCATCTGGCCAGTACTTACAGCACTTCACCTGCGCACACACACACACACAGTCATTAACTGATTGACACACATCTGATGGAGGCTCCTCCCCTCATTATTAGACTACAGTCTCTGTGTCACCATGACAACCAGCCAGGTGAGCAGAGACAGAACAATCAATGGGCTGTGTGTGTGTGTGTGTGTGCCCAGGAAACACAGAGTCAGATAATCAGTCTGAAATCTCCCAGAATCCCTCTGTGCAACGCCGGCAGTTCAGCCAAGCAGATCCCTGGTGCATTGTGGGTAGTGAGAGCGGGCGGCGCCTCCAGGTGTGAGGTTCTGCTCTCAGGTCAAATCCTCCAATTTCAGGAGGAAATGAGCCGCTTCATTCCCAACCGAGCGGCGCCAGCGCTTCAGAACCTCAACTGCATCCGACAACAATCTGCTGAGAGGTTCTGGAGCCCACAGCCAGGAGGCAGAGAAGGGACAGAGGCATTCTGGGAAGCCAAGTCCCAACGCCATGACGCAGAAATACAGCAGCAGACTCACCCGGCCCACTTCCACCAGGTTGGTCACCATCACAAGAGCCGCCGAGTTCTCCTGCCACACCATCCTCCAGAAGTCATACACCGTCTCCTGCATGGGTCCTGAACACACACACACACACACACACACACACACACACACACACACACACACACACACTTCTATCTGAATATGCGCTGTCAGACCTCTGGTTCCTCCTGTTGCCATGGTGGAGCGAGTTTCCTGCCTTCCAGTAATGACGGCTTCTCCTGTACTCACTCTTAAGTCACAGCTAGCTTAACTTAGCATTAGCTTAAAAGAGAAAATGTGAATTAGTTGTGTTTCGATCAGCTGGTTTCGAGTAAATCGACCAGGCTGTGCAAAGCATGACATCATCAGATATTAACTGTGGTAAACAGGAAGTAGGGGTTGCTAGCTAGCATTGTCCCCCGCTCTAGACTCCATTTTGGTTCCTCTGGTAAGGCACAAACCCATCAGTAGATGGCAACGTTACCTACATAAGAACTTGTTCAGCAAATGTCTTTTCTTCTCCCCTTTAGCAGATTAGCTATTTAATGGAAAAGTCAAAAATCACCTCAAGTGAGGATAAAAACTTTTTTTACAAGATTAAATAAATTATTTGGAATTTTGGAAATTTCCATCAACTTTTTGCAAGGCGATACTTTGAAAGAAAAATGTTGCTGAAAACATGACTAGTGACACTGCTGGTTGGGATTTCTACCTGCAGAGCAGAGTCTGGTTTATGCTAAAGCTCTGCTGGTGTGGTGCCCCCTGAGGTTACAACAGGTAACTGCAGGGTCTCCAGAAGCTGTTGGACGTGGTCTGGAGGAAAAGGATGAGTGTCTCACCTTGTGTAGCAATGTAGTGGTTGGGTCTGTGGTAACCCTGAGGAAGGAGGAGGAAACATTTCAGGAACGTTTCATGAAAGCTCAGAACCTTCAGACACCGGAGGTTGTTTGGTCGGGTTCTAGCACATTTCAGCAGGAGGAAACCTTGGTACTCACATCCACATAGTTAGCATTGATGTAGTCTGAGCCGCCGTCTCCATCCTGAGGCTGCAGACGCACACGGGAGTGATCGTCTAACACACACACACACACACACACACACACACACACACACACACACACACACAGCGGGGAGCGTCAGTTGTTGTGCTCGTTGTCACTGTGAAGCTCAACACAATCAGAGCTAATTAGCTTCCAGTGGATTAAAGATCTATGAACATATTAATAATCTCTTAATTAGATTCAGCTGAAACAACACGAGTCTTTAATTACATCTGATTCAGTTCGTTACAGTCAGGAAGGCAAGGAGCACCGGGGCCCATCTGGTGAAACAGCGGGGCCCATCTGATGAAACACCAGGCCCCATGTGGTGAAACATCAGGACCCATCTGGTGAAACACCGGGACCCATCTGGTGAAACATTGGGGCCCATCTGGTGAAACATTGGGGCCCATGTGGTGAAACACCGGGGCCCATGCGGTGAAATACCGGGACCCATCTGGTGAAACACCAGGGCCCATGTGGTGAAACACTGGGACCCATCTGGTGGAACATCGGGGCCCATGTGGTGAAATACCGGGACCCATCTGTTGAAAAAACGGGCACATGTGGGTCCGTAGGCCCGGTTCTTACAGGCGATGATGTTCCCGTATCGGTTCTTCATGCGGTTCTCGTCCTTCTTGGCGGAGTCCCATGGAGCAGACTGTCCCTCAAAGAAGCTCTGTTGGAACACAGAGACAGTTTGTTACAGATCACTGCAGCTATGAAGGACATGAATAATGCAGAGGGTGCGTTTGATTTGCTGCTCGGCGTCCGCCTCCATGGACAAAACACATGATTAAGTCCAATTACAGACAGAGGCTGTGAGGGAACAAAGACTCAGAGAATCAGACCAATCCAGGTTCTGGAAGAGGAAACAAACATTTAATTTCTCCACCACACACACACACACACACATGCACACACACACACACACACGCACGCACACACACACGTTTGTACTGTCAGACTGTCTGTATGAACGTCTCCCACTTTGATCCACAGCAGCTTCCTGAGTCGCTCATTAAAACGCCGGGAGACATAAGAATGTGTGTGTGACAGCCGTCTAACAGCTTCAGACATCCATCAAACTGTGAGGTGAGCAACACACACACACATCACACACAGACAGACAGACATAGTGTGACAGCGAGGAACAAAGAGGAGAAACGAAAACAGAGCAAAGAATGGAACTAATGAGTGCAGGCAGAACCTCTCCCTGTCTGTTTGGGGCCCACTGTGTGTGTATGTGATGTGTGTGATGTGTGTGTGATGTGTGTGTGTGATGTGGTGTGATGTGTGTGATGTGTGTGTGTGTGATGTGTGTGTGTGATGTGTGATGTGTGTTGTGTGTGTGATGTGTGTGTGATGTGTGATGTGTGTGTGATGTGTGATGTGTGTGTGTGTGTGTGATGTGGTGTGATGTGTGTGTATGTGATGTGTGTGATGTGTGTGTGTGTGTGTGATGTGTGTTGTGTGTGTGATGTGTGTGTGTGTGATGTGTGTGTGTGATGTGTGATGTGTGTGTGTGTGTGTGTGTGTCTTCAGGTGGTGGTTCCCATCCTGTTTCGAAGGTCTCACATCAGGACCTCCACCAGCTACAGGAACATGTTGCAGCTGTTCGGCTGCTTGGTTTCAGGTTTCTGGTTACAACCAGAACCTTGCAAGAACCCAGTTGTTTTCTAAAGTGGACCTTGGTGTTAACAGTGGTTCTGTGAGGTCCAGTTGTGTCTTTGGTGGTTCTGAGGCTCACCAAGATGATGCCTAAATGGGCCAGAACATCTCAGAGTGTTCTGAGCAACACTGGAGACTAAAGTTTCCATTTCTGTCAGTTCCTACAACCAAAGAAGAAGGTTCTCCTCCTTTTGGACTGGTGTGGACTCAATGGTAAGCCTGGAGATGTTCTGGTTCTGAATCCTACGACATCATGCAGCACTTGAGTTTAACTCCAGCACCTTGGAACAATTTGTGGTGTGACACAGGGTAAAATCTGCCCAGCAGCCCACCGTACTGCTCTGGATGCATTACCAGAGCAAGAACAGGTGGCGGACCATTGGTTAGAATGACGGCCAATCACGATGTCTGGTTGGTCCTTCAGGCCTGTTCCAGATTTCCCCATCAGGTGTGAGGAGGCAGCTGGAGACAAAGCTGCTGCAGGCTGAACTCCCAACCAACCAGTTCATCCATCTATGATCTTTATGTATGTTAAGACTCACAATACAAATATGGTTTATATCTGAACCAGCTCAGCTTGGAGGCATGAAGTTTGTCTGAAGTGAACTGAAGCTTTCAGGGTTTCTGAAATCCGTCTGGGATCCAGAAGAACCTGCCAATCTCCCCATCCCGGTCTGGTAGGATGATGACGGTCTGCGCTCCAACTCACCACACGGACACACAAATCACTATTCATCTCTTCTGCGTTGAAGACAAACTGCACTCTGACATCTTCCCCTCAAACAGCTGGACAATAAAATCCTGGACTCTGTGCTGCCAGTTAGTGAGGAAATCTGGGACTTTCTGAAAACATTTATATTCATTTGAAAGTTAGCAGCAGTACTGTGTATATAACTGTATTTATGCTTTGGATGTTGTGGTTTAGTGCTGTCTCTGTTCAAACACATCTGGATCAAATAAGCTGCTCGTTTCCAGCCTATTGCAGAGAGGAATGAATGCTGGTGAGGGATTCAGACATTTTGGAGCAGAGGTGAATCTAAAAGTTGCAGGATGGTAGGACTGGAGGGCTGGAGTTGGTGACCCCTGATCTAGTCAACCAATGTAACCGTGGCAACCAGGGGAGCCGCCAGGAATCTTGGTCCCCATTACAAAACATTAAATTGGGCCCCCAGACCAGCTGCTGTTAAAATATCTCGAATCTGTCTGACCCATTGAAAGCACCACAATTTTAAAGGCCTGCAATGGCCTCGCTGTCTTTGGTCCAATACTGGTTCTAACACAGTATTTACATTTTACATGCAACAGTCCACATACAGTATGCAAATAGGTTGCT